AGAGCTGTAGATCTCAGATTTAGGTTTACTTTATATGGATGGAAAGGTAAAACATAGGCCTATAACTTTCATATGGAGCCCAAGATTAAAAAGGTCATTTTCAAGTCCAAATTGCAACAACAACCAAGAAGTCTGAATCTGTCCTCTCACCCAAGCACTGTTTAGTGTTTGGCCCATATTTGGAGTTCTAGAAGTCCGAATGACCTCAATGTTTTATATAAGAAAGCTGAGATAATTTCCTACAACTTTCATGTTTTCAAATGGTTCCAATTTTGACGTTATCAATGACATTTTGGGCAGACAAGAGAAGACAAGGATTGTCATGAAGTCAAGAGTTGGCCACTTACTCATGAATTAGTCATCAAATCAATAGTTCTCAATTTTGGCCTATAAAAGGAGGCATTTGCCATGCATTTAGGCATCTTGGTGTTCAGATCAAGATCATGCTCTTCCTTTCTCTCTTTGTATTTTTTATGCTTTGCTTTCATTAATATTAAGTTTATGCCTTTCATTTCCTTTCCTTTACTTAGTTAACTTTTATGTTGTTATTTTGTTTATTTATTTTTCTTTCTTTCATTATGTCTAGCTAAGTTAATTATGTCAAGGTGAAAAGGTTACACTAATGGTGTAAGAATAAGTATAGTGTAAACTTAATATGGACTTTAATGTTTGATACTAACATGTTTTATATTTGTTATCTTGTTCGCTCTTTAATACTTTCCTTGTTAAATGACTAATCTTGATTTATGTTGTATAACACTTGGTACAACAAATGCTTGGCACTTTCATAGCCCATACTGTATGGTATAACCGACACCTAAGCTATGAAAGGAACTTGATTTGTTGTTAACATAAGGTATAATCATGAATGCTTGATGAAATTTATAAATATTAGCATTAATTGAATAAGATAACTAATATAATCATGTTAACAATCTATAATCAGATTGGAACCTCCTTTTTGTGTGGTTTCTAATTGAATAATAAGAGTTTATATTATACTTGTTTGACATATGACACGACTAAAAGATTGAAGTCTTTTCCCAAGTGCAGGAGTGTCGAAGTAATAAATAACCCGGCAAGACCGGGGTCGAACCACAAGGAGGTTAATTGTACAAATTATAGACAATAATTATAAACAGCAATAATAATAATAATAATAATAATAATAATAATAATAATAATAATACTAGTAGTAGTAGTAGTAGTAGTAACAATAATAAAGATGAAGAAGAAAAAGAAAAAGAAAAAGAAAAATTGATGAGAATTTTGAGATGGAAAATTAACGTAAGGATTAAACAACGATAACAAACAATGTCAAGGTTAGAGGATCCACTAATAGTATGTCAAACAAGTATAGTGTAAACTCTTATTAGTCAATTGGAAACCACACACAAAAGAGGTTCCAATCAGATTATAGATTGTTAACATGATTACATTAGTCATCTTATTCGATTAATGCTAATACTTGTAAATCTCGTCAAGCATTCATGATTATAACTTATGTTAACAACAAATCAAGTTCCTTTCATAGCTCAGGTGTCGGTTATACCATACATTATGGGCTATGAAAGTGCCAAGCATTTGTTGTACCAAGTGTTATACAACATAAATCAAGATTAGTCATTTAACAAGCAAAGTATTAAAGAGTGAACAAGATAACAAATATAAAACATGTTAGTATCAAACATTAAAGTCCATATTAAGTTTACATTATACTTATTCTTACACCATTAGTGTAACCTTTTCACCTTGACATAATAAACTTAGCTAGACATAATGAAAGAAAGAAAAATAGATAAACAAAATAAGAAAATAAATAAGATAAAAGTTAACTAAGTAAAGGAAAGGAAATGAAAGGAATAAACTTGATATTAATGAAAGCAAAGTATAAACATTACAAAAAATACAAAGAGAGAAAGTAAGAGCATGATCTTGATCTGGACACCAAGATGCCTAAATGCATGGCAAATGCCTCCTTTTATAGGCCAAAATTGGGAACTATTGATTTGATGACTAATTGATGAGTGGGTGACCAACTCTTGATTTGATGACAATCCTTATTTTCTCTTGTCTACCTAAAACATCATTGATAACGTCAAAATTGGAGCCACTTGAAAACATGAAAGTTGTATGAAATTGTCTCAGCTTTCTTGTGTAAAACATTTAACTCATTTCAACTTCTAGAACTTTAGATATGGCCAAAATACTAAACAGTGCTTGGGCTAGAAGACAGATTCAGGTTTCTTTGTTGTTGCTACAATTTGGACTTGAAAATGGCCTTTTTAGATCTTAGGCTTTATATGAAAGTTGTAGGCCTATGTATTACCTTTCCATCCATATAAATTGGACCTAAATCTGAGATCTATAACTCTAGATATGACCCAATTACCTAACAGTATTTTGGTATGGACTGCACCGGCATCTCTTTTCTAAGTTTGGTAATCTCTTTGCCCTTGCAATTTAAGTTCTTAAAGTCATCAATCAATTCTTTCATTTATGTGATAGGCCTGCATTTAAAATGAACATTTACCACAAATTAAAGGTATCTTATATTATTAAATAAGTTATTATAAAGCATGCTTTAGTTAAGGAGTTATGGATACTTCGAGTGCAAAATGATGAAATAAAACCTTGATAAAAATACACTTTTAAATACTAATTAACATATCATTAGTGAATCCTCTAACCTTGACATTTGTTATTATCATTGTTTAATCCTTACATTAATATTTCATCTTAAAGTTCTCATCATCTTCTTCTCCTTCTTTTTTTTTTTTCTTTACTACTACTACTACTACTACTACTACTACTACTACTATTATTGTTGTTGTTGTTGTTGTTGTTATTGTTATTATTATTGTTATTATTGTTGTATTATTGTCATTTATAATTTATACAATTAACCTCCTTGTGGTTCGACCCCGGTCTTGTCGGGTTATTTATTACTTCGACACTCCTGCACTTGGAAGAAGACATCAATTTTTTGGTCATGTCAGGAGTACTAAAAAATAATCCTCTCCTTAAACTAATTTTTAGCATGTTTAATTTATTCACAAAATCATAAGATACAAAAGAATAAGTGGCTCTAGATTAAACAAAGCATACACTCTTATGAAGTTAACATCATCTTACCTATCATTCAATACAAACATTATATTTTTTTATTTGTTCCTAACCTTTGATCTCAAAACATAAAACAATGAAGTTTCAATTACATACACATATACATGCCTTTATGCTTGCTTATACATTCATAATTTAGTGTGCAACTTATTTATTTAATACAATAATATAAATATAGTATTATACCTATAACCATATTTGGAAAAGTCCTAGCATCCCACTGAATAATGTTGAAGGACCTCTCCTAAACCTTCTCATAAGACACATATGACCGGCCCCCACTAAAGTTTGCTCCAAATTGAGTATGTCTTCCTGAACCCCTACATGGTCAATTCACTATCATTGACTACTCCTAACTCTCCACTTGAGGTTTATACCTATAAGACCTATTTAGGTTCTGATAGGGGCAACTCTTTTTAAAGTACCTTAGGTCACCATATAAATAACATCCATTATCCAAGTATTTATAACTCTTCCACTAGTGATCCTCTTACCTACATAAATAACACTTATTTCCTGCCATTACACAATCATCATAGTGCTTCTTATTACAACATTCACAACATGGATATATAGAATGCCTATACATTAGTGTTCCAAAAGAACCACCAACTTGTCTCACTCTAGGATGAGATTGTCCTTTAGATAATCCCATTTTGACAGGTTAGGATGGCCTATTATAGGCTTATTTTAGAACAAAATAGCTCTTACCTTTGTAAAACTAGTTGTTATTCTACCCATTATCTCTATACAATTAACAACTGCTTATTTATCACATCCTCCTCTTTTTAAGAGAGTTAGTTTACTATTATGATATGATCCAAGTCCTTTTCTCCATCTAAATTGATAAAGGTCCTATTTTTGCAAGCCTTGACTTTGATTATTTAGCATTGCTTCGAAAGATTGAGTTACCTCCATTAATTCCTAGATTTTAGTTAGTTAGAGATTAACTAACCCCTTCATGATCTCTTGATACAACCCATTTCTTAGCTAGTGTCTAACTATCTCTGCATCCTTAACTCCATTAAAGAAAGCACACCTCATCTCTCATACATTTTCACATAGTAAATAAAATAGGGGTGTTTTCTCTACTTATATTGTTTATGGTTTTTGTAATACTTGCCATCATCATTCCCATCATATATTCAAAGTATGCAGCGCCAACTAGAACACATGTGGTACTAGTTGTAACATAGACAAGGGTCTTTTTAAAAATTGTTTAGCATTGTGGAAAACTAATGAGGGCATCTCTCTATATCAATAATAAAGGTGTAATTGGTTGATGAGAAATAGTGTCTCTTATCATATCTTTTATTTAATCACTTCTATCATTTTGAATTAGCTCTTTACCATCATGTGGCAGTAGATTAGTATAAGCTTTACTTCTAATACTTACCATTAGATATTATAATACATATTGTTCATTGGTTACCTTTACCTTTTTTATTCTTATAAGTTCACTTAATCATAAATTATTAGCTTTAATACTTACTATAATAGTCTAAAATTTCATACCAATTTTAAATACTTCTAATAGTGAAGAACATGTAAAATGGTCAAGATTTTTTTTTGTGATATATTTATAATTGACTTATCTCTATCTTGCCCACATTAGATTTAACTTTGCCCATAATAGTATAATATTCTACACTAGAATTTAACATATAAGGAATATTTCATTTTATAAATAATAAGTGTATTAATTTAAATTTTTTTTAGAGTGTTTCAGGGCTCTACCCAAAATCTTGTCTAGTTTATACTTCCTACTCAACCATGATGTATCTCAATTTAACGTCAAATTGATCAATTATGGTGGGAATCATCAAATTCATTGGTTTTTGTATGAAAAATAAAAAATAATGTGAGTTTAAAGCAAGTATTCAAGAGTTTTATTGATTAAAAGCAAAAGAAAGGATCTTTTGTAGAATTCATTAATTAGTTAAGATTTAATTGGGATGAAAAATAGCTTAAAGATCTAATTGATACCTGTCTTAAAGATTGAAGGGGACTTTCTTGAGGTTTGCTTTTTATTTTATCCATAAAAATCTGGAAGAAGCTAATAAATCAAACCTTAAAAGAGAAGAGAGAAAGCCAGAGAAATTCATTTCTTCTAAATCAAGACACTCGTCTCTGTGAGAGAGAGAGGGATGAGAAATGGATGACAATCGATAGATAATAAAAAAGCAAGGAAAGATAGTTTGTTCAGAAAAAGAAATGTTGGTGACCTGTTTGACGAGGTAAAATCTTACTTATTTCAGGCACCAACCAAATCCACTGTTTGTTTGCCTTTGTTTATTCTAACCAGACATCTATGTAATCAACTTATAATGTCTTCAAGTTACACATTTAGTTTCATGGACGGATGGATTCACAGCAAATATTTTCTCTATTAGGATATCGATTATCTGTTGTGATGGCATTTTCAGAGCTCAAAATAGTTTGCACAAGAATTTCACCAGGATTATATCTTTGTTATGCTACTTTCGCTGATGTGTTTCTTGATATGTTTGAAAAAAGTAACAATCTCAGAGTCTCACCAAGATCTTTATGTTTTTGCAATCTTGCTGCATATTGCAACAAAGTTCAGAAGAGTAAACTCTTGCCATAATTTTTAGGGTTTTTTAGAATTGCATCTTGAATTCCAAAATCATATTTACTAAAACGGATATGGCCCTTATTTTTTTTGTCTTTGCCAATGATGCATGTTCTTGTTTTTCTCTGTTGTTCTATTATTGTGATTTATTTTATAACTAAGATTCACCCATCATTTGTTTTGGAAGAGGGTGAGAGCTGAGAGACATGTTCCTTTTAGTTCATACTCTATCAGAGGAGCAAGATATCTCTTAATCAATTGTATGTTATTATTTTTCTTGACAATTTTTATCTAGAAAAATAAATGTTCATTTTTAGTATGCCACCCCTATTCCCTCCCCTTTCCTTTCCTCTATTCATATAGCTGTATTTTGTTGCAGATAGGATTGAGGCAAATACTTACAACTGTTACCATCACAAGCAGAAGCTGAAAGGTCAATTTCATGTTTCAGACTGAATGATAAGATTTTGAGTTGGAAACTGGAAGAATTGTGTTCTCTTTGTTACAAAGTTGTTCACAGATTCTTAAATTATTTTTAAACCCAGTCTAATAAGAACTTTTTACTAAATTGTCAAGAATAGTGTCGCTATGAATGTTTGGCTGCCACAAGCTAGTTATCCCTGTGGTAACGTTTCTGACACCTCTAGCTTCAAATTTTGAAGGTCTAATAGATCGATAGACCACGCTTTCACGGTTCGTATTCGTACTTGAAATTAGAATCAAATGAGCTTTTATCTTTTTATTCCACATGAGATTTCTGTTCTCGTTGAGCTCATTTTAGGACACTTGTGTTATCTTTTAACAAATGTGCCACCCCATTCAAACTCCCCACCTGACAATGTCTTCTACCAGGATCAGTCGTCGAAGCGGCCTTAGGTCCAAAAAGAAGGGTAGCACCCTGCCAAAGCTCCCACTTATCCTACACCTCTCAAGGCGCTGAGGGCGCGCCTTCTGCTGGTGATAATCTAAATGACTCTCGGCAACGGATATCTCGGCTCTCATATCGATGAAGAACTTAGCGAAATACGATACTTGGTGTGAATTGCAGAATCCTATGAACTATCAAGTCTTTGAACACAAGTTGCACTTGAGGCCTCTTGGTCGAGGGCACGTCTGCCTAGGTGTCACGCATTGTCGCCCCCACTCCCTTCGGCTCACAAGGGTGGGGGCGGATATTAGTCTCCCGGCGCTCCCGCTCGCGGCTGGCCTAAAATTGAGTCCTCAATGACGGTCACCACAACAAGCGGTGGTTGAGAGACCTTTGGACATTGTCATGCGCGTGCCTGTCGCCCCCGGGATCTTTTAGACCCTCGGGCATCGACCTTCTAGGATGCCCTCGCTGTAACCCTAGGTCAAGCAAAACTACCCGCTAAGTTTAAACATATCAATAAATGGAGGAAAAGAAACTTACAAGGATTCCTCTATGAACGATGAGCGAACCGGGAAATGCCCAGCTTAAGAATCTGGCACCCGCGGTGTCCAAATTGTAGTATGGAGAAATGTGCTCAGCGGCGGACCAAGCCCAAGTCCCCTGGAAAGGGGCACTGGAGAGGGTGAGAGCCCCGTCATGGCTGGACCCTGCCGCATCACGAGGCGTTGTCTGCGAGTCGGGTTGTTTGGGAATGCAGCCCCAATCAGGCGATAAATTCCATCCAAGGCTAAATACGAGCGAGAGACCGATAGCAAACAAGTACCGTGAGAGAAAAATGAAAAGGACTTTGAAAAGAGAGTCAAAAGGTGCTTGAAATTGTCGGGAGGGAAGTGGATGGGGGCTAACGATGTGCCCCGGTCGGATGTGGAATGGTTACGGTCGGACCGCCTATTGGCTTCGGGTGTGGACCGATGCGGATCACGGTGGAGGCCCAAGCCTAGGCCCTTGAAACACCCGCGGAGATGTTGTCGCTGCGATCGTGGACTGCAGCACATGTCGTCACGGCGTACCCCAGTACATGCGCGCTCCGAGCATTGGCCTGTGGGCTCCTTATTTGTCCCATCTTGAAACACGGACCAAGGAGTATGACATGTGTGCGAGTCAATGGGCAAGTAAACCCGTAAGACGCAAGGAAGCTGACTGGCGGGATCCCCTCGAGGGTTGCACTGCCGACCAACCTTGATCTTCTGAGAAGGGTTCGAGTAAGAGCATGCTTGTCGGGACCCGAAAGATGGTGAACTGTGCCTGAGCGGGGCGAAGCCAGAGGAAACTCTGGTGAAGGCCCGCAGAAATACTGACGTGTAAATCGTTTGTCTGATTTGGGTATAGGGGCGAAAGACTAATCGAACTATCTAGTAGCTGGTTTCCTCTAAAGTTTCCCTTAGGATAACTGGAGCTCGGAGTGGTTTTATCGAGTAAAGCTAATGATTAGAGGTACCGGGAGCAAAACGCAATTGAGTGTTGTATCCCTTGATACATGGGATTGTTCCAAGCTTCAGCTAATTACTAATCCTTACTGATTTATGACTGCATTGTAATTGAGTGCTTCTTTGAGACCAATTCATATTGTTTTACGAAGCTTTCGTTAATTCTACCGTGATGGTAGGGTTTAAAGCATTGGAAAATTTATTGAGCCTTGGCTAATTAATTAAATAAGAGGAAAATTAAACAGACAGAAGCATAAAGTTAGGTGTCCTGCGTTCAACATTGGTAACCCTTCTGGCAATTAAGAGCTCCAGCCTGCGGGGACATGTTTGTTAAATATGAAGCTGGTCTTGCTACCATGCTTGATGCTTTTATGTAGCTTGCAGGACTTTTCTGGCCAGAAGGCGTGAAGAAAGCACCGTTGAGCATCATGTCTCCATCTGATCTCCGGTTCCAGCTCTTCCACTCCGCAAATTCATTCAAGCTTTCATGCCTAGTCACCTGAATGTGAAGTGAACTTTTAGGAACAAAAGGGTAAGTTGAGAAGTTCCCTAACTGGACGTAACCTGGTAAGTTGAACAACTATATTTAACTGGGACAGTTGAAGTGTCAATGATTTGACACTAGCCTTTTTTTCATTTAAAATTCTACTTCAGTTACTGCTTCATTTGTGAAGAATGAACTGTTCCCCTTTCCCTTGGAGGGATTAAAAAGTAAGCTCTCAGGTAAACGAGATAGCTGTCAAGTGATTAATTATCAGTAGGTAAAGACGCCCTTCATTTTGTTTAAGTAAAGCCTATTCACTTTAAGATAGAGAAACTTGCCTCCTTAGTGTCACTGTTGTCTAATGCCATAAAAACATTCCCTTGGCTGTTGATTGTTGGATTGGCGCTTCCACCAATTGTGTACTTCTCCCAACCAGTATATATATTATTCACAATGTGAAAGTAACCATGCCTGTTAAGATACATTTAGAGAGCAATTTACTGATAACTCCAGGAATCCAGAGAAGAAAAAGGAGCGCCATTAATATTTGCAGTTGCTCATGTAGTTTTGTTGTAAAGTTAATAATAACTTAAGTTACCTAGGCATTCTTTGAACCAGATTTTCATCTAAAAAAAATTGAAGGCAATTGTGACTTGCATATTCTTGTCATCAAGAAAATCATCACTATGACCCATAAGCATAACCTCATTATGATTGAACATGTAGTTGTTTGAGATTGTTATAGATGTTGAGCCAAATACAGCATCTATCAGTCCATCATGGCAATTAGCTAGTGTACAATGATCAATCCACACATCCCTAGCCGCAAATATCGATATCCCATTCCCATCTGAATTACCTCTCAAACCGTAATGCTTTGTGGAGTCTCTTACAATGGCATTTCCTCCTGGTACACAGCCATGCATGTAGATGTTACGTGTGATAATGTTACTGACATTTTGAATGGTTATGCAAGGACCATCCGCAATCTGGATGTTATGCCCCCGGCCATCAATTTGTTTTGTGTGAATTCATATTAAGTTCTTCCTTCAAGTTGATGACCATGTCCTGATCAAAGATGATCCACAGAGGCTCTTCTTGGATGACACCATAGCGGAGTGTGCCTGGAATTGGGTTTACAGGGTCATCATTGTCAGAATTTGTTACTACATAGAGGTTACCATCTCAACCCCCCACAGCATTGCGTCCAAACCCAATTGCGCAATCAGCTAGCACCTTCCTGTTGGTTTCCCAGCCAGGGTCGCATCTCCAACAATCATCAATAGGGTTACCAGTTCTGCATGCATCGTTTTCCAGCTGCCTTCTCGTTGAGCTCCTGTTACATTATTTTTCTCAGAAATTGATCTTAAATATTCTTGCGAACATATAGCATGAAACATTCACTTACCACTTGGTTGCTTCTGATATTCTTTGCAGAGGATGTCTAGAGAATGTTATAGTGGCATGTGAGATCAGGACAGGAAGAGGGACAATGTCGGCATCTTACATGTAGTTTAGCGCGGTGGGATAGCTAGAAAATTTTAAATGAGAGAATAAATTATAAATATTTAATATTATATATTATATAAACATGTATTATATATAGAGAAATTAATTTGAAATACATGTACCAACTTATGTCAAACAAAATTAATTTAAGAATATTTTTAAAATAAAAAAAACTTACATTATAATTATTTTTATAGATTTTTCATATTTTAAAATTACTTAATAATGACTTCATTATTAATTTCATTAAAGATATATTTTTTTAATATATATAATGAAACTTTCGTTCATCTATTTTTAAATCTTTTAAAGACCAGTGAAATTATTAGTAACAATTATTTGTTAATTTGTTGTTTTACACAAGTGGGTTAAATATAAATATTAACATGTTTTTTAATTTTTTTTATTATATCTCTAATTTTTTTAGTTATTCAGTACTTCATTTTTAATTACTAATACATTGATTACCATCATTTTTCATATGAAAAATATAACAAAATACATATTAATTCATCAAAACTCATTTCAATTCATATTCATATGCATATAATATTATACATAAACATATTAATTTAGCAAATCTATAAATTATCATATTATTAAGAAATAAAACTAAAATTAAACAATGAAAGAAATAAAAAAAATAAAAGAAACTTATCTAAAATATTAAATATAAAGTATAAAAGATTACTTAATTAATTAATAATTTAGAATTTAAAAAAAAATTATAGAAGAAAAGAGAGAGATATGAACAATAACTTTAAAAAATAAAAAAAAAAGCTTGTTAAATTATTACATTAAAATTTTATTGTATGAACAATAACTTTAAAAAATAAAAAAAGCTTGTTAAATTATTACGTTAAAATTTTATTATAAAAAATATTTAAAAAAAATAAAAGAATCGCCCCTCTTAATTTTCATTATGGCTCCGCCACTGGTAGAGGGATTGATGTCTGTCTTAGGAGCTACTACACCATGATAGTGGTTCGAAGATTTAGATTTATATAGCTAGCAATCACAGCATATTTCTTGGCTTGTTGCTTCCAGCAAAATTAACAAATACCACGGTGGAGATTAATGTCACCGGAAAAGTTGGTTTCCAATCATGCTGATAAGTAATAAATGAAAAAGATTGTTCTAAATAAAGTAGCCACGAGTTTTGGCTTGTAAAACCCCCTCTATTTGGAAACTTGACATTGCATTGATGTGGACGTGGTCACGTGGTGGCCAGGACACAAGTATTTAGAGGCCGAATGGTTAGCTGCTGGCTTGGATGGTGGTCTCGGTCTCCTCCACCACCGTACGCTGGTGGACATCCAACTTAATTGTTCTATGTTGTGGGTCAAAAACAAAAACATAAAGAGCAAGCACTGTCAACTCGTATCTTTAACTTGAAGAAATCTTTTAATCAAATAAATTAAGAATTATATATGTAAATAAATATTAAAAACTATAAATAAAAAATAAAATTAAAAAGTTGAGAAATATATGAAAATTAAGATATCAAATCTGTATCATGGAGAGGTACTCTCTCTCAAAAGTTGAGAAATATATGAAAATTAAGATTTGATGGAGAGGTACTCTCTGTTTACTCTCTCTCTTTTCTAATTATATGTCAATATTTTTTTTATAAAAAATTAATAATTTAAATTATATTGAAATAAGACAATTTGCTAGTATTGTCCTTGTTTTTTATATTAATATATTTTTCCCAGCTAAAAAATATAGCTTTTTTGAGCAATGTACTTCATTGCAATTAGAATAAATATTCAAAAAAACTCAGAAAAAATAAAATAAGAATAAAAAATGACATCTCTATACTTAAAACGTCTTTATCATATTGATGAAATTTCTTCCGTGAGACCATTATAACTAAAAAAGAAACAAAATATTAATTTGTTGAAGTAAAAAATTATTAGAATCATAAAAGCAAATTAAAAAAAAATCATGCTTTCATTATTATTCCACGGATATTTTTTAAAAAATATATGGATAATACATTAGAAATTTATGGATTTTTTTTAATGTAATCATGAAATCCACCCTTTTTTAATAAATAAAAAATAAAAGTAGATAACTTGTGGTGTGCTTGCTTAATTGTTTACCTCAAAATGATGGTCAATGAATTAAGTCGGAGTTTTTTTGGAGCTAAATATCTATTTTCAATCTATTTTTTTACTAAAAAAATCTAATAAATATTTTTATAATGTCAATAAATTAATTTCTTAATTCAAAAAACTTTGAAATTGATTCAAAAACATAAAATCAAACCAAAAAAAAATATCTCTCAACCCCAATCTATCTTATTTGCCAAAATAAAGGTCTAAAACATCTCAAAGGAAATTCTCTCATTGAATAAAACTTATTGATAATAATATTAAAATGTAAAAAGAAAAAAAAACATTATAGATATGTTTTAATGTATCAAGATTTTTTTAATAGAGAAACAAAAATGTTATTGTTTATACTTTATAGAATAAATTAAAAAAATATATAAACTCATAAATCAAGAAGATGTTGTTAATACTAATTAGATATTAAAGCATTAAGCTAATTTTCATAATATAAATAAAAAATAGATGCACATGCAAATGTTTCACACTAGCTATCCTTTTTATTTTAAATTTTATCATTCATTTTATATTAGCGATTAATTGTTGTTGCTAATAAAAGATGATCTAATTTACTATAATAAATCCATATAAATACAACTAATTAATATAAAATATAAGAGAAAAAATTCAAGACAAATCAAAGTAATCTATTTGAAGTATCATGCAACTAAAAATATATATAAAGAGATCAATAACTGTTTAAATAACATAGTAATTCAATTTGTTTAAAAAATAAGAGAGATGGTATAAATCAATATTTAAATAAAAAAATAATGGAAAGTGATATAAAAATAAAAATGAAAATAAAAACAAAAATAAGAAAAAGATGTCATACAATTTTAATAAAAAAAAAACATCAGACCACACCTCTTTGTGTTTTATTTGTCCAACGGAAGTAGACACTCTTGGTCTCTTTTTTTTTTCCCAACAAAGCAATAAGTCGTCTATAGTGGTAGCTAGTCTATCCTAACTGGTTGTTTTTGGTCAGCTCTAATGATAAAACAAATTGGGGTCCTAGTTCTTCGC